TTCCTCTCTAGAAATAGGAGTGTTTGATTACCAGGGGTCCTCCAAAGGCCGATGGACATTTAACATTACATGCAGTGTGTACAACACATTAAATGTCCAACATGTCAAGTCTATGAATCTTTAAGAACAGCTGGTGCACTCCAGGTGCTTGGGCACTGCTACTCACAAGACTCAAATAGCCCTAGGCTCCTGGCTTCGGACCAGCCCAGCTCCAGCCACTGTGACTATCTGGAGAGTGACCCAGCAGATGGAAGATCATTGTCTCATCCCACCTCTATGTATCTCTGCCTTTCAAGTAAAATAAATAAAACCTAAAAGTTTTCAAAGCTAAGATGTTCTTTGCCCTTTCATCCTTATTCTAACAGACAACAGTGACATTTGCAGGTCTTAAACGTGCGTTACAGGCTGAATGTAGAATCGGAGAAGGCAATCTAGTCGTCTTGTGTTGAGCTGGACATTAAAGAGGACTTTCAGAAGTCTGAATGTGTCCCTCACAGTTCATGAGTTTAAAATTTAGCCCTCAAAGTGCTGACTGGTAGGATCTTTAACAAGTGATTAGGTCAAGGCCAGAGTGATGGCTCAGTTGACTAATCCTCTCCTTGCAAATGCCAGCATTGTAAATGAGTATCCTTTGTGTTTCAGCTGCTCCACTTGTATCTAGCTCCTTGTTTGTGGCCTGGGAAAGCAGTGGATGGCACAAGGCCTGGGGACCCTGCACACGTGTGGGAGACCCAGAAGATGTGCCTGGCTCCTGGCTTTGCATCAGCAGTTTCGGCTTCTGCAGCCTTCTGGGGATTGAACTGTAGATGAAGGCTATTTCTCTTCCTCTGTGTCAATCTACCTTTCCAATAAGAAATTAAATCTTAAAAAAAGTGATTAGGCCACGACAGCTCTGCGTTCATGAATGGATTAGTCATTATTATGAGAGTCTTGTTATCACTAAGTTTGGCCTTATTACACACTGACTCTTGCCTATTCGTCGGATCATATGGCCAGACTCCCTAGATGCAAGAATTGTGAAAAATAACTTTAGACATTTCCCAGTCTGTGGTATTGTTATGGCAACACAAAACAGCTACAGATAGTAAACTGTTACCAACACATGGGGCTACCGCCTGCAACTGTGGAAGAGGCTTTTGTATTTGGTAGATGCTGGGAGAATGTGAGAAGCAAGTAGCAGCAGCTGGTCCGGCTGTGCAGGGAGGAACCATGGGCAATCCCAGGCGGTGCAGAGAGGCATCATGGGCAATCCCAGGCGGTGAGGGAGGCACCATGGGCAATCCCAGGCGGTGAGGGAGGCACCATGGGCAATCCCAGGTGGTGTTGGGAGGCACCATGGGCAATCCCAGGTGGTGCAGAGAGGCACCATGGGCAATCCCAGGTGGTGCTCAGAAGAGCTGCAGGGAGAGCCTCAATCTTCCTGGGAATGACTTCAGTGGTTGTGGTGTGAATGCTGTAGAAATACGGACAGTGAAGGCCATTTGCTCAGGGGTTAGGCAGAAGTGAGGAGTGAGCTGGGTCATCCTTGGTATAAAGCAGCAAAGTTGGTGGGATTCTGCCTATGCTCAAGAGCTTTAAGACAGGCGAGATTTAAAAGCAGTGAACCAGGAATGGCACAAAAAAATATGACCCAATCCACTGCTCTGGAAAGTACACGCCACACTAGCATCCAGGTCACAGGTGCACAGAGACCAAGAACTATGGGATCATAGTCACCTCCACCTAGATTTCAAAGGAGGCTGTGAAGTCTAATGCACTCAGGAAGAGACATCACAAGGGCAGAGCCACTAGAGAGCCCTCATTAGGGTGATGTCCAGGGCAGCCCACAGAAGCCAGCTACTTGCTCACCAAGGCAATGCCCAGTAGAGCCATGAGAATGGAGCAGCCCCTGAGACCACACAACTGTAGGGCCACTAACACATGGAACTCCAGTCTGGAAAATCTGCAAAAACGTATCTTCAACTAATGAGCACTGCTGCGTGGATTAAACCCAGCAGTCATCGCGGCAGGGATGCCTAGAGCCTTGGCTGCCAAACCCCTGCCCACGTGCCCAGATGTGAGGAATGGACTCAAGGAAAACGGTCTCCACGTGCAAGACCCAGTGTGGTTTTGCCTGTTGTGCTTGTGCTTACCTGGAACCTGCATTTGCTTCACCTTGCCTGCTTCTCCCTTTTGGAACAGGAATATCAAGTGCCTGTTCCGTCACTGTGTTTGGAAGCACTTGACTTTTGATCACACAGGTTCAAGGCTGCAAGGGAACTTACTGTGGGCGAATCAGGCCAAGAGGCTTTCCTGTACCTGACCTAGAGCAGACAAGGACTTCAGGAGTATGAAGCTACCAAGAGGGAATACATGTATTTTTCATTGTGATAAAAGCATTGAAGCGTAAGTTGGACCAGGGGTAGAACACTATGGCCTGAGTTGGTCTTCCACGGTCCACGCCCTGAAAGTCTCCAATGCAGTAGACTTGGGGGTGAAGTAAGAGGGCAGTGAAACCTTTTTAAGAAATTATTGATTTGAAAGGCAGTTCTTTCATCGCCTAATTCACTCCCCCAAGTGGCCAGAATGACCAAAGGTAGGCCAGTTAGAAGGCAGGAGCCAGAAACTCAACACTGGCACCTACGGAGATGCCAGCATGGCAGGCAGTGGCTCTATCTGCCACACTCAGTGCTGGCCCCAGGAGGTGGGACTTCTAAAGTGACTAGAGGCCTGCTGCTATGGCATGGCAGGCACCTGAGTTACTGACATTCCACATGGGCGTAGGTTCAAGACCCAGCTGCTCCACTTCCAGCCCAACTCCCTGCAAGTGTGCTTGGGAAAGCCTAAATGCTTGGCTTCCTGCACCCATGTGGGAGATCAGGAAGAAGCTCCTGGCTTCATATCAGTCCAGCTCTGCTCAGTGCAGCCATCTGGGTGAGGAATGAACCACCAACAAAGACCCTGCTCTCTGTAACTCTGCCTTTAAAAACAAATAAATCTTAACAACTACAAAACAAGGTGGTGACTAGATCAGAAAAGATCTGCCCTCATGAATGAACAATGCCATAGTCACAGAAGGAGACTTATAACAGTGAACTTGGATCCCCTCTGCATCATGACACAGCAGGACCCTTGCCAGGGGCACCTTGACTGAACTGGACTTCCTGGTCCGTTTCTTTTTCAAATCACCCAAAGTGCTGAATTCTGACAGAGCAGCAAAGCCGACTATGACAATGTAAAGTACACCCACTTACCTCATTTTTGTAAGGAAAGATGGTCATTATTTGTAAAAATACATTACTCTTCACAGATGATTTTATTACTTCTAATTACTAAGGGCATTTTAATATCTCAATCTTAATTGCTAATACAGAATAGCAATGGATGTAATCAACAAAAATTAAAACTGCAGACTATTGATATACCATCAAGGAGACTGGCATGTCAAAAGGAATAACAGTGTCTCGAACTTAGGATTAGAAGTCTCATTCAACAAAATAAAACATTGTAGATTTAAGAAATACATATTTGATGTTTTCAGCGTAGTTGTAATTCTTTAATATAGCTTCAGCTATATGCTAAATATGCATATATGCATTCTTTCCAAGGTATGTATTTGCTCAACAAGTAAGTTTATAGAAACAGATTTTTTTTTCAACTAGTCTGGCTTTGCAGAATAGTACAATGGCTAGCACACCGTACCAGTCCATTTTCTGTTACCACTAAAAAAGCCAAAACCAAAACCAAAACAAAACAAAACAAACACTCAAGATTGGCTTCCTTACAAAGAAAGGAACGAGTGGACATTTAGCCTGTGGTTAGATGCCTGTGTCCCAAACTGCAGTGCCTGGCCTTCGTTTCTAGTCATGACTGTGCCAGAGAGCAGGCGCAGTTCACATAATTGCACTCCTGCTATCCAACTGGGGGGCATCGATTGCATTTCCAGCTCCCAGTCTCAGTCCTAGCCCCGAGCAACAGCCAATGCAAGAAAGAACCAGCAGGAGGCTCTTGATCTCCATGCCATTTAAATGTTTTATGTCCAAAAAAAAAAAAAACAAAAAAACAAAAAAACAAAACAAAAGAGTTCCTTACTTGGTTCAAAATTCTGGCGACAGCAAAAGTGCAACAATACGGTACTGACATCCTGGCAAGGGCTCCCAGCTGCATCACCACATCACCACACAGCAGAGGAAAAGAAGACAACCAGCCACTAGCAGCAGAGGTCAATGTGAAGGGCAACCTCACTTTGACACAATCCAACCACTCAAAAACTAAGCAGGTACTGTAAGAACTACCTTGACGTCTTTCAAGGGTGCTAACCAATAACTTAATCCCCACTGGGCACCACCCTTTAAATAAAACTTTGGGGGAAGACATTCAAAGCATCTCCAAACTACAGCACCCATGCACACTTCAAGAGCTCTGCCAGTCACTAGGACGCGGTAGACAGGAGCCATCACTACCTGAGCGCCAGATTCTGAGATGCTTACAACAGGGGAGAGGTGAAGTGGTGAAGATGGGACGAGCTTAGTTCAAGTGTCATCAAGTCCAAAATTCGAAGACTTCTCATTAAGTAGAATTTATGAAGTTGATCTCATGGAAATTGATAATAATGGTTATTCCTAGAATGCTGGGGAGTATGATCACATTTAAAAATTTTAAAAGATCCTAACTGTCAGCCACTAGCATGCTCAACATTGCCTGGGCTTAATGAATGTGTGTGCAGCTATTCACTCCTTCAAGAACCACGGTGCCTGCATTCAAGGAGCAAACTTCCACGCGGCTCTTCCTGCGTAAGCCTCAAACACGTGATCCCCAGTGTCTTGGCATGGTGAGTTACTCTGAAAGGACAAGTAAGCGCAGAGAAATCCCTCTTGAATTTCCCAGATTATCCTAAGAACCATAAATTATTTGACAACTGAAACAATAAAGCAACTGCCAAGCCAAAACACAGGTCCTGGAACCTGGTACATGCCGCACTCACTCTGAGAACATGTAAGATTTAAACACAACTCAACATCTGAAAGCTACAGGACCCTTTTATTATCAGGCCAGAACAAACACAGCAGCCAAGAGCTCCATCAGTTGGTCTTCTGGTGGTCCTCACACATGGAGGGAACCTGTACCAGACACATCATCAGTCCTGGCCGACCCTCAGAACCTCACTTGGACCCTAAAGTGCATCTGCTTGGTGGCATTGTTCTTCATTCCAGTCTTCAGCATCCACTTTGATTTCATCCTCTGAACATACTGCATGTCCCGCTCTCGCATCAAGGCTGCTCCTGTGGTCAGAGGGCAGTGAAGAAACGAGGCAAAACTCTGTTATTCATTATCAGACAAAACTCAAGTCGGCTGAGAATCCAAAAGTCTGGGACAGCTTAAAGAAGAGTTGCTGGCTGGGCCTTTGGGGGTCTGTGCACAATCCCCAACTCTCAGATAAACACACTTCTCTGGGATTAGCATCTTTGGTTTTCATCTGCAAAAGCTGATATGCACAAAAGGAAAGCTGCACTGATCTGAGAGGACAGAGGAAGGCAGAAGCTGCAATGAAGTGAATTAGATAGCAGTTCCCGAGCAGAGCAAGACGCAGCCTGCTGGACTCCAGTGTGTGGCCAGAGAAGCAGAGCACACATCCACCCACAGCGGCAGTGTGGCATCTCAGCTGCCCGGAGCTGCCCAGGCATCAGAAGACAGCCTTCCCCGACTCTCTACAGCTGCACTAATGTTTTCCCTGAAGATTTAACTGGCCTAGTGCAGCAGACACAACTGATGTAAGTGATAATATAAATATAATAGTGAGGTTTCAGAGCTTAACAACTTCAGTGGCCTGCTTGTTTGGATCAAATTTTATCCTTTATGATACTCCAGTTTCATGTTTATATATTAATACAAGCAGATTCGATGTAATTCATAGACACAATTCTAAGAATATCATAACATTCCTTTTTTTCCTTCTTCCCTTTTTCTCTCCCCATTCATTTTTCCTTCTTTCTTTTCTCTCGTTCCTTAATTTTTGAGATAACAGTCTAATCAACATTACAGTGAAGGGTCTAATATTCAACTAAACAAAGAGATCAACAAGTAAAACTTGTAGGCAAGGGTTGTAACCAAAAAATCAAACGGAGGCTGATTTCACTCCTATAGTATAAATTTTCAAATAATCACCGGTTATTCAAACTACAATAGTAGAACATTCTTAACCATCGGTTTGATAACGACATAAACCAAAACTTGACAAAAACGCATTTCTAACAATGTTGATACACACAGCGTTTCTTTCCTAGGATAGGATTAGTTCTGACCTACGAAGGAAAGCACGCAGCATCTGTCTTCTTGCATCTGCACTGTCTCATTCAAAGATGTCCTCCAGTATCATCCATTTTGACGCAAACGGTAGAATTCATTTTTTCACTAGCTCAATGATACTTCATGGTATCAATACATTTTTCTCTATTCATCCATCCAACGACAGACACCTCAAGTGATTCTGTAGTTCAGCTCTTGTGAACAGTGCAGGTATTTCTTTAACACAAGGGGCTCTTGTTCTGAGCACATACCCAGTAGTGGGATTGTTGGATTATATGGCAAGTCTATTTCTCCTTTTGGAAGAAACCACCAACTATTTCCCACAATGACCACGCTAATTTGCATAGCCACCACTAAGTGTGCTGCCTTCCCCAGACTCTTGCTGGTATTTGTGATTCTCCCTTGAATGATAGCCACCTGACAGGCATGAGATATCGCTCACTGTGGCTCTGACTTCCCTTTTCCTGAGGCCTAATGATGGGGAGCACTTTTGCATCTATTTTCTGGCCAGCTTTCTTTTCTGGAAACTGTCCACTGAAGTCCTATGCCCACTTTTTCACTGGACTCGTTTCTTTTTCTGAGCTTTTACATTTTGCTTGCGGCTACGTTAGAGATCTTCTGCTGGACGTCTGCTCACTGCAGACGGCTTCTCTGCTGGCACCAGTGTCTGGTCTGATGCGATCCCGCCTGTTTAGCTTTGCTGAGTGCCGATGTTCCGGAGAGCTTATCCACAGGTTGCCTACAGCAATGTCTTGGAGTGTGCTTTACTTTTGACTAAGATTTCTATACTGTTAAAATTTTTTATTCCAAAAAATCCCCTATTTTACCTCCCAATCATCAGAAGCAGCCAGAGTGGAGTCAAACCCCCCACAACATGGACACAAAATTGAAAATCTACCAGTGACGAAGCTGCATCTAAAGTAGAGATGGCGCCCGCTCCTTCCCCTTTTCATATTTTACACACAGATTTAAAAACAGCCACTGAGACTGTGAATTACCCAAGCCTAGGGTGGCGAACAGCAACATCTGCCCTAGAATTGCAGTTGCTTCCAGAGCAGGGAGGACTTACAATGCAGGCCCTGATCAGCTGCAGAAGGACCTCCACCCTGCTGATGCCCTGGACTCCATCACCGGAACAAAGCCTGAACATCTGTACAACAGCCAACTGAAACAGACTCAACGGTTTCACTTCTAACCCTAACCTCTGGCTGCAGCTGGTTAGGAACAAAGAGGATATTTGGGATCAAGAGAATTCTGTTTCCTAAGACGCCAGCTTCTTGAACTCCTTCCTCCCTCTTACCTGACCTCCCACACTCCCTCCCCCCAAAAATAAATTCTCGGGAAAAGTTACAAGCAAGGGACAAGTCGCCAGCCCTACTCAGTGCATGGACACCATCACACATGCCCTGTGACATCAATCCTCAACTCCAAAGGAGAGACACCATTGTTATCTCAGGTGCATTAACGAGGACACAATCAATCACACTGCTCATGGTCCCCGTCTAAGAAGCCATAAGCACATTCTGCAGCCCAGCAAGCTTGACCCGATGGGAAACTACGCAATTCCTGTGCGGCCTCCAAGAGAATGTCAACCTTTGATGATTACTATATTTAGAAGTATTCTATTACCTTCTGAAAAAGTTCATAATGTATATAAAACTACTATACCAAGAATATGAAGCTTGTGACACATGGAACTTTGGGCTTATTTACCATTAACATTGCAAGGGATAATAGAAGGCCCCAATGCCAGACATTATGTTTCCCTTAAATAATAAGGACAACACAAATGGAAACAACCTCACCCCGCTTCTGGAAAAACCAAGTTCTTAGGCCCATTTCACACTGTAAACCTCAACATACCTGTGCTGCCTGTCCATCCGAGGGCTCTGTATTGCTGCAGCACCCGGCCCACAGCCTTCTGATTCTTAGCAACCGCAACAGCTCGTGATAAGCCAAATCGCTGTTTGTAGTATCTCATCAAGGAGCGATGACCCACCCTGGCACCTGTTTTTCAAAAGAGCAATACAGTTTATATATAAACTACCCACGGAGTCGCACAGTTTTTATATGGCAGAGCTATAAAGCAAGAGCTTTCCCAGCTTAACCCTCATGAGGCCATTTTATCCCACAGGAAGCACTTGGCCCTGCCAACATCTTCCCTCGGCTGTAGCAAGCAGAGAGGTACTACTGGCACCTAGTGGGTAGAGGCCAAGTTGAAGCTAAACATCTTAACATGCACAGATGGCCCGACACCAAATGGCCACCTAGTGCAAAACATCAGCCAGGTCAGGCTGAAAAGCTCTTTCCTACAGGTTTCTAAGTAACGGAAATCAGCAGGTAAATCAGAATTTTAAGATACTTAAGTTCCATTCTCACAACAATTTTTTCTTTGAAGGATCTTACAAATTCTGTGGGTTAATCATATGAATTCTAAATGAGAAAACTGCAGGACAAGGTTACTAACCATCAAAAGCTTTGTAACTAAAACCTTAACAAATGCAAAAAAAAAAAAGGGAACCAAGATATTTGCTAAAAGAATAAATGAAGGCTCCTATTTAAAGATGAGGCATATCAGAACAGTAAACTACAACCAGAAAGCTGCATGTGAACAACTGCTGCTTTGCTCACTGAACTGGCACACAGCCGTGCTCATCTGTGCAGGAGTTCTCCCCAGCAGCAGCCTCCATGCCACAGCAGGGCTGAGGAACTGCTGCGCAAACATCCTGGCACTCAAAACCAAGCTACTGCCTTCCTGGGCCTTTACAGGAACAACACCCCGACCAGTGTGTCAGTCAGGGCACATGGAACTGAAGGGGGCAGGCCTCCTCAGAGCGCTCGCTCCAAGCCCAGTTGACACAGCAGTGTCGCCTTCCCCCGCAAGCTTACTGGACAGGTGCTGTGCAGGATAAAGGGAAAGCAGAACAGGGTGGCCCTGCGCTGAATTTCTAGGTGCATGGATGTGCCACGGTGGACCTGGTCAGCCAAAAGAACGAAGATTTTCTCAATCCTGATGGCATCTCAGAACTAGCAAGGCCTCGCAAGCAGCACCCTAGGAACACTCTCACACTGGGGCCCTAGGGCAACATCAGCGGACTGGCTCCATTCCTCCGCACAGGTGTAGCTCGACAGCCAGCTGCAGGCCCCGCTTCGCTCCCCTCCCAACTGCCTGGAGACACAGGGAAAAAGACCAACATTTATCCTTCCCACCTCATCCCTACACCTGGACCATCCACACCCTAATCAGAGGGCCACATGTGCACGCATTCCTCAACAATGTAAATGATGACTAAATTAAACATCTTCTTAAAAAGTTTTTAATCAGGATATAAGCAAATACACACCTTTCCAATATCAATCAACATGTAGCTATTCAACAGCAGCATGCACAAGGCATAAACAGCTATTTCTAAGGAATCTAAATGTGTAAAACCCCGCCGGGAAGTCTTATATTTGAACATATAAAACCACAGAGAATCTTTTACGTAAAAGGATCATGAACACGATGCTTTACTGTAGAAGGCTGCATGTGCCTTTAAAATGTACTTGTTCCCAAGTCATGTTACGCTAACGTCCTTACTTGAAATACAGTTTTTCTGACTATATAAATAAGGAAAAAATGCTGGCTTTGTGATCACAATTAAGAACTGACAAAAAGAACTAATTCAAGCACACGGCCTTTGAGGCCACCGTGGATATTTCTCACAAAGCTGACTGTTGTGGCAGCCTAAGAGCTAGGAAACTTCTCAAACACACGAGGTGAATGAGCCGTTCTGACGGACTCCAGCTGGAGGCTCCCGCAGGAAACCCTAGCGTTCCTTAACCAGGATTTTCCACTCACCGTTCAGTCAGGACATTCCACATATGCATAGATGATTATTCAAATCATGCAATAACAATAACACTTGCCATCAGTACACATTAATATTAATGTAATCAACAGATTAAATATTCTTAGAAACACTGGGAAACATCTTACTGAAGGTTAGCCTTTAATTTTACAACATCTCTGAGGGGTTGGCACAAGGCTCAACTGCACCAGCATGCCATGTGGGCACTGGCTCCGTCCTGGCTGCTCCACCTGTGCTCCAGTTCCCTCAGAGTGGCCTGGGAAAGCAGCAGCGCATACCTCCAGGCCTTGGGCCTGCCCCACATGGGAGAATCCAAAGAAGCCCCCTGCCTCCTGGGCCCTCAGCCCCCAGCTCCCCTGCCTCCTGAGCCCCCAGACCCCCAGCTCCTCTGCCCCCTGCCTCCTGGGCCCCCAACACCCTGGGCCCCCAATCCCCTGACTCCCCTGGCTCCCTGCCTCCTGGGCCCCCAGCCCCCCGGCTCCCCTGCCCCTCTGCCTCCTGGGCCCCTAACACCCCAGCCCCCCGACTTCCCTGCCCCGTGCCCCCCAGCCCCCCAGCCCTCCTGGGCCCCTGGGCCCCTAGCCCCTGGCTCCCTTGCCCCTCTACCTCCTGGGCCCCTAGCCCCCCAGCCCCCCGGGGCTCCCCTGCCTCCCTACCCCCTGGGCCCCCAGCACCCCAGGCCCCCTGGGCCCCCAGCGCCCCAGCTCCTGGCTTCAGCCCAGCCCAGCTCTGGCCATTGCAGCCATCTGGGGATGGAACAGCTCTCTGTCTCTCCTTCTCTAACTCTGCCTTTCAAGCAAAATAAAAAAATCTTTAAAAAATAAAATTAGAAATAAAAAATAATAAAATATCCTTGAAAAGACTTCATTCCTGAGTGCAAAGGTTTCTGGTGTCTGTCAGCTGGTGGGCCAGAAATGAACACACAGTGTTTAGCACTCCTTCCACTCCATGTCAATGAGCACCTGACATCAACACCAACTACGAGACTCTCATCCAAAGTAACAGCACACTGCATGACTGTCAGACAGGTAAGTGACCGGTTCCACATGAGTCACGGTGAAGTGTGCCATCTGTCCACCCAGTTTTCAAACAATAACTAACTCTCCGCTCCGTAACAGCTTATTGGTTACACTGGATACTGGAAAATAAAATTTCAAACTGTCATTTTCCTGACTGGCTATGTAACTGTCGCTTCTTCAGGCTAATCAACAGCTGACTGTCTGCTCCATATGGAACTGCAGACAGAGCAATAAAGGAAACAAAACACAAGAACTGAGCCAGACCAGTCTCCAAAAGAAATCCCTGCAGTGCCCTCTACTGGACGTGATCTGCAGCTGTCTCAGCACCCTTCACTTAGGGACAAGCAATCTGAGCTGACCTGGCTGCAGAGTGGCTGCTTGAACCACTCAGAGCAGGCTCCACATGCAGCTGAATATCACTAAGCTTCCTACTGGAGAATGCTTTCAAAATCATCACAAGCCACCAGCCTACTAACCCAGTCATACAAACAGGCATAACAGAAGAGGTTTGGGGTGATAAATTTGATAAACAGAAATAAACAGGTGATAATTAGATATGCTGCTACATTGTATACAGTTGTTTGGGCAGAGGTCTCCCATTTTCTTGGGTCATTAGAAAACACCCCAAACCACTACTGAGATACAGGAACAAACCCTTATCTCATTGTAAACTTATTGGTAAAAGTATGGACAACGGGGTGGCACCGTGTTATAGCAAGCTAGGCCTCCACTTGTGATGCCAGCGTCCCATATGGGCATCGGTTCAAGTCTCAGCTGCTCCACCTCCAATGCAGCTCCTTGCTTATGGCCTGGAAAACAGCAGAGGACCGTCCCAGTTCCCACCTGTACCCATGTAGGCAATGCAGAAGCTCCTGGCTTTGGACTGACTCAGCTATGGTCACTGTAGCCATTTAGTAAATGAACCAGCAAAGATCACTTTCTCTCCTCTGTAACTCTGCCTTGCAAATAAAAATGCAATCTTAAAGTATGGACAACATGAAAAACATTGTCAGTGTAAATGGAAGAAATTTCACAATACTGGTAGCTTTGGATTTACTCTGAAATCCAATTTGTTGCCACTTATACAAAACACCTGCTCTAAATCCTCAGTCATTGGAGATGATCTGTTAAAGCAAGGAAGAACTCGTATAGACTTCCGCTTGCTGTCATCTTCCCCAGGTAGACACTTTCACCAAAGCATTGCATACATGCTCCCAGAAAAAAATGCATGCACATGCCTACCACAGTGTGCATGGTCTAGTTAGCAACCCTTGCAGGTTCTGGCTGTGGGCTGGGGTTTCCCTGGTTCCTATGGCACAGCACTTCACAGCATCCTACACCACACCAGTTACCCATGACTTCCAAGGCCGTGTCGGAGCACTGTCCCAAGGTTACTATAAGATTCTTCCCAACATGACTCAGCAATGGCACCTGCAGCTGTCAACAACGAACCCCCAGAGAAAACTGGACCTCCAAGCTCATCTCATGCCACCTTCCTCTCTGACCACACGAGGGCAAATCAATCTGCAGAGACATGAAACAGTGACAGACACACACGACTCAAGCCCCAGAGCTCCCTCTGTTCTGCTTCTCCTCTGAGTCCAAGCCTGAGGGAATCAACCTCTCCCTTTTAGAAGCTGCTTCCACTCTGTCACCATTCAACTAGTTTCTGTGAGATCAAAAGGTGAAAGGAGCTTTCATTTTTAAAAAACAAAATGACAATTACAAAGGAGTAAAGTGAAGCTCGGACAGACCACGTGTGCCAGGAGTGGACAGAACTCTCCAGACAACAGGTGTACAGGAGAGGAGTTTAGGAAGACTCTCCACAGGGGCCAGCAAGATGAGTCTGAGAGAAGGCCTGAGAGTAAGACGCAGGTGTTACACATGCAAAGACCCTAAGAGTAGGTAAAGGAACAGCACAAGATGCCTTAGGGACCAGAGGCTAAAGACACCGCAAGAGACCCAGAACATCAGCTTCCACCTGAGGGTTCCAGCGAACAAAGAAAACATACTGTGGTTTTTAAAAGAATGGTCTGCTGAGGTCCATGTGGCGATCAGACGGAAACTGACAGACAGCTGCATTGAAGAACACACCAAGATATAAAAAGAAAACTCTTAAAGACATCTAGGAGTCATCAAATCATCTGGATGTGGGAGAGGATGCGATTCGAGGGACACCTCCTCTGGGCTGTGCTTGAACTTAGAAAACGTGTTCACCCACAAAAATATTTTCTACAGGATTAAAAATTCCTTATAATTGGAAGCTTCAAAAATGTAAAGTTCAGGTGAAAACTTCTCAACTGCACTGCACCTCTCAGACAGGACATGCACATTCATGCACGTGCTTGCAACACGGACTAAGGTTGTCATCTTACTCCACAGTTGAGACGTGGAAGCTAATGAGACCAGGGCTACGCAAACCATCCTGGAAACAGGCTATAAGAACCATTGTAAATAAGCAGCAGCATTCTTTCTGACGTGCTCTCCTGGCGCTGTCAAGGAGGAAGATCAGGAGTCCTGCGCTTACTTTAGGTGTGGCCACTGTTACAAAGGCCACCAGCTGGCGGACAGCCTGCGTATTGCTGCAGAACTGCATCTTCTGCGTGCCCTTTCCTTCCATTGTCATCTTCCAAAGCTGCCTTTATTCTGAGTTACACGCGGCTGTGCGTACCCAGGCCACAGCTGCTGCTTCACTTTAGACACTGCGTCTAGCAGGGTGCAGGGCTCCAGGCACACCAGGACTGCACAGCCTGCAAGCAGGGCACAGCACAGGCAACGCCGCTTCACTGACCAGGTGTGTGATCTGCGGCGTATTAACTGTACATCAAGTGAGGACACAGAAACTACAGCGCAGGCCTGCTGTGACCCAGTGCATGCCAACTTCTCACAGTGCCAGGTACTAGGATCTGACCTCTGCCATTTGCTCCTCCCTCAGGTCTCTTCCATAGCTTTTCAGTCAATCACCATGTCTTTTTCTTCCCACATGATAAACAATGGATGTCTCTTAACATCTGTGCCGATTCATCACCACCATCTCATACAAGGAAAAACAAGCAAACCATTAATTCTGTTTCCCCAGAGAAAAAGGCAAGATCCAAATTCCAACCTTCCCCTAAACTAGAGCAGTCAGGCAACCCAAACACTATCAGTCAAAAATTCACATGCCAGCCACGTGAGAGCCTGAGCAACCTAAGGAAATGGGCACCAGGGTAAGATCAGGAGAAGCGCAGTAGGACCCAAGAAATACTAGGGAACAGAAAGGTCTACAGATTTTAATTTGAAAAAAAGGGAGAAAGGAATGGAGGGACAGAGACCTAATCTGAAGATTCTAAGCCAAAAAAAAAAAAAAAAAGTTTTGATCCAATACAAAATAAGCACCTAATTTCCAGGGGAGTGGCCACTTTGCCAGGACCAGATGCAGAGAACACAGCACACACTCTCCACCCTCCTCGCCTCAGAATGGCAGACAGTGGTGGTGGAATGCCTCTCTCAGTCCCACTGGCCCCGAGCCAGGCACTTCTGACAAAGGAACTCACCAGAAGGCAGAATCAGCTCCATGGTTTCTTCGTCATATTCCAAGTTCTTTTCGGAGGGCAACTGCTCAGCTTCCTCGGGGTCCTCCCCTTCCCTGTGGTCGGGGTAGCTGCTCCTGTAACAGTGCAATGGCATGAGGAAGCGCAGCAGCACCCCCACCTCACCGAGACGACACACGTCACATCCACAAAGGTGGGGCACCCACCAGCCATGGAAAAGGAGGCGATCTGGGGGAGGCAAACGGCATGCTGGCATTTTTTGTGGTAACAGTGAGCAAGTGGTTCTCAACAACACTCTCTCCTATTTGTTTTCCAGCAGACATGCGGCTCTAGCCCGTCTACCCAGTGTAACACTGCACAGCACTGCTACCCAACAGCACGTGCTGACGCCCACCAGTGCTGGGCCGGACGCCCGACGGGGCGCTCCCAGTTACACCGGCGTCACACCGCACTGTGAATGCAAGCAGTGTAGCCAGAGTGGGATTTGCTAACGAAGAGTTCTTAATTCATTTGAACAGTCACATGGGCAACACTTATGAATCACCTTATTGAACAGGTGAGCTAAGAGAATTTCTCGTTCCTACAAATGTTTACAAGCTCATATACACACACAATGAAAAAATAAACATTAAATAGTAACAGCAGGCCAGACAATCCTAACCACCCCTCCAGGAAAAAAAAAAAGCAGATAAAGATTTTTAGCACACACTTTACGAAAATATATCCAAATGGTCAATTAATACATTACAAACTTGGGACTACATTGGTCATCACCAAAGAGACATAAACAAACACCACTACGCACCCCACCAAAGCAGCTACAACCAACTTAGCAGCCAGGCCACTGCTTGGGAGACCCACATCCCACACTGGAACGTCAGGGTTCCAGGCTCCAATCCAGCTAATCCCAGCTTCCAAATCCACATATCAAAGCAGGAAATGGCTCAACTATTTGGGTCCCTGATACTCGTGGAATACCCGGGCTGAATTCTGGGCTCCCAGCTTTGGCCACACATGCGTGAGTAAACCAGCCGGTAAGCAGGGGAGGTCTCTGCCCAACTCTCTCTCTCTGCCTTTGAAGTGAGAGCGAGCGAGCGAGTGAGCCACAGAGAGAGAGGAAAAAAAGAGCACCTTTAGATGATTTTAGCAGTTTCATCTGACTTTAATACTTTATAGGGATCCCTCTGGCTATTTTGAGCGGCAATGTACACGAAGAGGCCAGTGCAGAGCAGCACAGGAGGCCAAGCGGAAGCTGGCGGGGCTCTGGACCCCACAGGCAGAGTGGAGGACCAAGCCTCAGATCTCCAGACAGCTGGAAGGCACATCAGCACTGGATGAGAGATCTGACATTAAGCATGAAGGAAACCAATGACCGACTGCAAGGATTCTAGCTTTGATTATTTAGATGCACAGCAAAAGTTTAACTTTGCACACGTTCATGACCCTTTCAGACACTTAGTTAGAAATGTCAAGAAAGTAACTGAATATGTAAACGTGGAGCTGAAGGGAACGTTATATTAGACAAATCAGTGTGAGACTCCTGAGTGGACAGAAGGTAGGAAATCTGTCAGGCAGAAGAGGAAAAACAGAGCGAGTATGGCCAGAGCCAGGTAGACCACACGACGTAGAGCTTCACGTCGGCCACTGAGGACAGTGACCCGATGCAATCTCTGTGTCTGCCTTGGCCACAGTGACCGTCGGAGATCCTCAATGCCATTGACAGGACATCCAAGAGGGCCAGGCCCTGGCTGCTGGAGGACGACGCACTGTCCGGCAGACACTCGGCCTGTCCTCCCCGCTGTCACTATTTTTAAGCTCTACCTGTGCCTGCCAACCACAAGCCCACCAGTGCAACATGTGCGGCTAGAGAGAAAATGCAAACCCACACCTCCAAGACTCCAGATTTCCCGAGCCCCAGTGCCAGCCATACTGTGCCTGCATGGCACGGCAATGCCAGCCAGCCGCTATATCCTGCAGCCCATCTTGGGAATGCTGACAACATGAATAGCTGTCACGAAGACCGAATACATGTGTTGCTTGATGGATGAGTCATCTTAAGATTTTGCTTAGAGGTGACCTGGAATCATCCCATGAAGTCCCCTCCATCCCCAATGAAACAATTTCCTGGTGAAGAACAACCTGAAATCTGGTGCCCACAGCTCTGTCAGGAGGTAACTGACAAAATGCACTCCTGACCACTGAACCCAGCAAGTCAAGCTTCAATGCGGGCCGAGATCTTCTCCTGCCTGCCCATCTTAAACCCTGCTTCCTACTATAACAGGAAATGAGCACCTGCAGAGAGCTCCCAGGGCTACACGGACACATCACCGCCAGCGCTGGCCCCCACGCTGCACCACCGTGCAGCGGAACGCCCTCACTGCTCACGTCACTCACCTAAAGTCATAGAAGTCTGCGAATTCCAGGGCGGCATCCCCGTCCGTGAAGAGCTTGCAGTGGCTCTTGTCGTTCATGTGGGCCCGCACGGCCTCCGTGGAGTAGAAGGATTTCCCCTTCTCATTGCACCACAAGCAAATCTTTCCAACACCGACCTTCTCACCTGAAAAGTTGAAGAAAAAATACGAAAGCTTTTTTGTAGCCAAGTTAAATCCCACCATTTACCTCCACAACTCAAAAAACACTGAACAAGCTTTTCATTTTCACAAAATACGCAACAAAGACTGATAAGAAATATAAAACTTCTGTTCCCTTAAGACTCACTCCCCAGCAAAGCGGTATCTCGTAGGAAAAAGGAATGCATGCTCGGCTTACCCAAGTATTTAATCAGTCCTTTAAGATCTGAAAGATACTCTATGTCGGGAATAAAGAAGCTGTGGACCTTGGTCATGTGAGCCACATTCTTCACGAGGGAGCTTGAGTGATGAGGACAGAACAAGCAGTCCGTTACGGGGATGGCACCCTGGCACGGGCACTCCTCCGCGTCCTGCTCCTCCGTGTCGTCCACGGCGTCGGCGTCCTCACATCCCAGCTCTTCATCAGAATCAATGTCTTCCCAATCTTCAAGCCACAATTTGGAAAGACATAACAAAACATGGTGAGCATAATCAAACCTAACGGCTGGCATCACAGAGCTGTCTGGGGAACAAGGGTACCCGCTCCACCCCTGTGGACGCACCTGCCCAGGCCCTCCTGGCAGCTGCTCGCTCACCACACGGGCTGACGTAAGCAGCAGCACGCTGTAAACCCCTTCACACAGCGCTGTGCTCCACAGCACAGAAACCAGTGCTCACCAGTTCACACTGTAAACCCCTTCACACAGCGCTGTGCTCCACAGCACAGAAACCAGTGCTCACCAGTTAAGTGGATTCGTATCAGCCTAGGGCCAGAAACTGCTAGAATAACATGCCTCCCATTTCACAGATGCACAACACTGGAGGTGGTGCAGTACCACAGCAGTGCTGCAGTCTGAATGTGAACACATTCCCAGAAGGACAGCGCCCAGAAAGGGAGCGCCCTGGGGACAGCATGAGGTCAGGAGGACTCTGCCCCAATGGCTCAGCACCTTCATACCAAACACTCCAGGGAACCAGCCTCCGTCCCTTCCCCCACCCCCATCGCGGAGCGTCATCCGTGGAACAGGCTCCCCCACACACCCAGTCTGCCGGGGCCTTGAATTTGGACTTCCCAGGCTTCCAGCAGTGCAGGCTGCCTAGAAGTCAAGCAGCCTCGTGCGTGGTTACAGCAGCACTGATGTAGTGTGTGACAGGTGCCTTGTGAACAGCAGGGCGGGAAGGAAGAACTACAAGGCTTGAGGCAAGCAGGCCCGCTTTCTGGCCCCTCCACCTGCTTACAATCAAATACATTAAGTGCAGCACCGGAAACCCAGGAGAACCTGATGCTGGATCACACCGGGGCACTACGGCTCGTGCCCCTCCGCACCGCCACCGGGGTGGACACCAACTCGTTCGATTAAACACCTGTCCTTCCTTCAGGCCCTGAATCTACAGCAGAACACAAATCTCCCGGGACCGACGCTGGCCAGACAAGGTGCGTCTACGCTGCTTTCCTTTACACACGTCACTGATCCACGCGCATCCCCGGCTAGAATTCAATTCTGAAAACGTGTTCCGACCCCCACCTGAGAAGGCCGTACCTTCCTCATCCAGGTCCTCCTCCTCCTCTTCGTCGTCCTCCTCCTCCTCGCCCTGCTGCTTTGCCAACTTCCTGGCCTGGTGCTCGAACCACTGCAGCCGGGGCGGTTTCTCGGCCGGGTCCCGCTCCGGAGCCCCACGCCCACGGGCGGCCTCGGCCGGGGGCACCTTCCTGGGCGACGCGGCCGGCTGCGCCTTGATGGCGCGCTGGATGGCCTCGTTCATGGCGTCCTTGTCCACGCCGTCCGCGCCCAGCCCCTTCTCCAGGTTCTTCTCGTTCATGAGCTCCACCTGCCGATTCACGGCCTGCACCGCCTTCTTCTCCAGCTCCAGGTGCCGCCGCGACCGCAGGTGGTTCTCGTACGCGTTCAGGGACGCGAACTTCTTGCCGCACACGGTGCAGTAGGTGGCCGTGCCCTGGCTCTCGCGCTCGGCCACGGCCCGCTGCGCCCACACGCGCTCCTGGAAGCCCTCGGCCGTCACCGGGGCCATGCCCGCCACCTTGCGCCGCAGGTTGTAGCGGTGCCAGTCCGTCTTGTAGTGGGCCCGCTGCAGCTCCGCGTCCCGGAACGCCACGCGGCAGGAGATGCAGGTGTACGTCGCCATGGTCGAGCCGAGACTGTCAGCCCGAGCAGACAAGAGGAATCCCGCACGCAGCTCCCGGCGCCTCGGGGAACGCTCCCGCACCGCAGCCAGCCGCGCCGCGCCGCGCCCCGACTTCCCGACTCTCCCGGCACGCGCGGAAGTCAGCCACCGCGAGCAGGAAATCCCGCCTCTCCGCCTGCGCTCACGCCCTTCCATGGGCGGGCCCGCAAGGCGAGGGAGACCATTGGTCACTGCCGCCGGAGACCCGTCCAGTCAGCTTGCGGAGCGCAGTGATGGAAAGGCGGAGTGCCCTATCAGTTTCCTTGGTTCCTGATGATGTCGCGCAGTGTGACGCACTGGTGCCGAGGTAGGCCCATCCCTCCGCCGACCAAGTCACGGGTCAAAGTTTAAACCGAAGACACTTTTGAAAAGTAAGATAACTTGCCTTTAGTAGTGTATTTCATGTAACCCGGTCTGTATGTAATCACTGGAGAAGAGTCAGATCGCCTGCATTCTTCTCTTGCTACTATTTCTGAGAAATGGGGCGTGTATGTTGCCGCGCACTGCGGTTCAGAAGAGCTCCACTTGATGGAGTGCACGTCTCCAGGAGACGTAAGCTTCAGAAGGCTTGGGGGTTCCCACCTGACCATCACTCCAGCCACTCGGCATCCTACTGACCTCACAACAGTCACAACACTTGTTCTAACATCAAGCGGCCACTTTCTGTTGGTGATAAGCCTTCAGAATCCCTTAGCCTTCTGTAGGCAACGTCCTTTTGCAGACCTGTTTGTTGTTGTTGTTAATCTCTGTGCAAATGACTGTTAGCCTTTTCCAAATCCTCTTGTCAAAAAGATTGCCTGCCTGCCTTTGATTCTGCCAGAGTCCGGTGGCACTTCTCTATGGCACTACATTAGATTTTTACAATACTCATCACTTGGGCTTATATTTAGCATCGTGCTTTGTCTCAGTCTCGAAATCGGACACTGCGGTGGCTCAGCTGAATGGTTCTAAGGATCTTATGACAGCGAACGTGTTGGTTAGGGTAGGATTCATCTGAAAAGTTGGCTGCGTTTATTTGTGGCTGGAGGGTCCCCTCTAAGGATGGCTCTTTTGCACGTTAACAGCAAGATATTTACCTTGGCTCTGTACTGAGCTGTCTCAGTGTCCCTGGGTCATTGCTGAGTGCCCAAGGAAGTAGCTCTTTCAGGAGGCTTGGCTATGCAGGCCTGGGTCAGATCCCGTGACCCTACTGCACGCATCTGGCCATTCACCACTGTTCTTAGATGTGACAGTAGGGTCATACTAGCTTTTCATAACACTTTACCGGTCCTTGATGAAGACTCTCCTGCCCTCAAAGGGTTTTATAATTTGTTAGGAATTGGGGAAAAAAATACACAATTAAACATCATACAACGAAGACTGCTAAAGCAACAAAATGTGTGATGGATATTTGAAATTTTTCAGTGTCTTCCAGGAGAAAAGATAAAAATTTTATTCATTGAGGAGTGGACCCTTCACATGGGTCCTGAAGAAGGGGAGGGGATTCAAGGCTTATCTGCAAGTAGAAAGGGGAAGACAAGGCAGATGGAAGAATCACTGTGGAGAGGAAACATGTGGGAGAACAAGCGTGAAGTGAGAAGGAATCAATGGCTGGAGACCTGAATTGAGGAGTTTGCCGTGCATTGTTCACTTGTGAACAGTAGGTTAGCCTCTCCTGGCACCCTCAGGTGCCCACTCCGCCCAACGACTCCCCCCTGTACTTTTTTCTCGTGACCAGAAGCTGGGCAGATCCTCAAATCATTACCTTGAACCTCCCTATCTTGAGCTAAACAAACCTCTTATCTTTATAAATTACACAGCCTCAGGTGCTGTCATGGCCACCGAAGATGGCCACACACACTGGTTAATTGCGGGGCATGCACAGTCAACAGGTTCTTGACTATGAGTGTGTCCTTAGACCAAAGGTCAGCAGTGTCTTCCCGTAAAGAAATAAATGCACCAGACTCTGAGGGCCTCTGTCACCACTCTCAACCACAGGGAACGCAAACTGAATGAGCATGACTGTTTTAGTTACACTTTAGTGATGCAGAAATCGTAATTTCATAGGATTTCTGCACATCACAAGAGTCTTCTGATTTTTTTCAGATATTAAAAAATGTAAAAAAAAAATTCCTTGTAGCCAATACAAAAACAGCAGTAGGCTAGATTTCTACAGCATTCTATGAGTCGGTATAATTGTATCTTAATTTGGTAGAGGGAGGAAGCAGAGAGAGGGGTCTTGAGGAACTTTGTCAAAGTGTCACAGCTGATAAATATTAGCACCTTAAAAAATGACTGAACTAGACCCTTACACATGATCCACGGAGTCAAAAGGATAAATATTTTTGCCACCTTTTCCATCCATTTATTCCACAATTGTGTATTAAATTATGAGGCCTCGATAGTGTCAGATCTATTAAAATGGTCTTACAGGACTTGCTTTCTTGTTGGCTGCCTTTGTTCAGTGTTTACGATAATAGCTTCGCTGCAGCAAAGGAAAAACAGCAGCATCTTTGCTAAATATAGTGTTTTTTTTTCCCCCTCTGAAGGTGTTTCAGATACTTTTTATTCATTTGGTGTGTGAAGAATTTAATCCCTTCCTTTACGTTTCAGGACCCTAAGGCTGTGAGCACGGAATGTTACTGGACTATGCCGTCGTATCACAGAACCACAAACAATAAACCACACTTGCAAAAATCTCTCCTAAAATAAATGCTATGCTAGACACAGAGGAAAGGTGCACAAATATATATAGATCTGAGACATCTGACTTTACGTGATGTAAATGATTTGTGACATCAGCAGCTCAGGAAGGATTTTCAGAGAAATTTCCTGTCTTGTAATTAACACAGCTGGAACAATATAAAGAAATAGACTGTGAACAGAAAGTATAAATCTTAAAATCACTCTCTTCTTAAACAAATGTGGATTTCCTTCAAGCCTAAAATGAGTAGAACACTGGTAGTTGCCAGGTATTAAATGGGACAAAGTTATAAAAAACAGTGTGTTTCCCGATAGTCTCTGGAACTGTGGGGCAGAGGGTGGAAATAGTATTTTAAGAATCACTTTTGGATAGTTTTAGGGTGAAAATAAATGCCAGTGTTTGAGAACAAGCATAGCCAAGAAGCCTGGGCTGACTTTCAGATGAGATTGGGCACGTTCAGGGTGGTATGGCCGTAGATAGGACTGACTTTCAAAGCAAGCTTCATCCTCTGGAGCACTGTGGGCACCGTGGGCATCGTGAATGCCAGGGGCACCGTGGAAGTGGTTACTATCAATATCGGTGACTGGTGTAACCTACTCCCATGGCATATTTTCGCTAAGCACATTCCACAGAACATGAGCAAAAATTGTCCCCACACAACACACACACAATCTAAACATCCTCCTTTGAATTACAAGTTTTGAGAAGACTACTTATATATTAATATGTGAATCTGTAACCATTTTCTCATATACAAATAATATTAACACATATCTTTATAGGTGCGATGTTGCTGTTGGCCAAGAGGTGATACATTCCACCCATGGTGCTGACAACACATTTTCTCCTACCCTGCCAATATTTCCCTTCCCAAATACCTTTTTCATTTATAGTTTGTTATTTTAGATGTACTGTTCAAACTACCACACACTACAGCCTGTTAGTATACCTTCTGGCAAACCTGCTGAGTGACTTATACTCTTTAATTACTTTCATCTTCTTTTCTCTGCAATGAAAAAGCTGAAATAACCTTCACAAATTTTGACATGATGACCAAGAATATATTTTAATGAAGAAACATCCACATTAAAAAAAAAGAACTCTGATAACGACCATTTTATAAATATCTGACTGTAATTTTCTTCAAATCCAGAAACTTATGGAAATTCAGATGTATTCATCTGGAACCACACAGTTGAGGGATTTTTTTTAACACCGAGTTCCCACTGGTGCCAAAATGGGCAAGATACTGAAGGCACAGACTCTAGTTAGTGAAGAACAGCAAACACCACAACGAGGCACTACTGACATCGAAGCACTGGCCAGCAGAGAGAGCAAGTGCCCACGTCTGCAGTGACGTGTCTCCTTTCAACATTTGGCAACATGCAGACAAGACAGTGTAATACCTCAGAAAGAAACAATAAATACGAGATGCTACGTTAAACTTTCAGATGATCGTTATGAATCCTTAGAAATGATAAAAAGGGATAAATAAAATGAAGGGAACCAGATTTCCTGTATCCTTAGGTTATCCCTCCTTTCTGAGGGTCTCAGATGTCTGTATGCATCCAAAGAAATGGCAGCTGTCACTGACGAATTAAAGGGATGTTTGCTGGTGGCTGACATGGTCCCTCGACAGTGTAAATCACAAAACAACAAAAACTAGCTTGCTTTCTGCTCGTTAGTCCTTTGTTAAAAACCCTTCAGTCAAATTTGGCTATTTAAAGGTGATCTGTAAATGTTTCAAATAAAGGGAAAATGCACTGCAGCTTTCCAATAACAGATGACATGTTCAGACTTGAGTTGCAAATCACTACACATTAAGCCAACAAGTTCCTCTCTATACAGACCATTACTGTTTCCTTACTGAAGACATCTCTTGTAGAACATATCAAGAACTGGCCTCTCCACTGTAGGCGGCTTCTCCCATGATAAACTCTCCAGGTAAGAGGGTTTAACGGACAGAGCACACTCGCACTGCGATTATCCCTGTTACAAATGGGGCAAATGAACAGCGGGACAGCGGGATCTGTTTATGTGGCGCCCACTGCAGCAGGTGGCAGCTGAGTGGAGCGTGCCACTTCCCCAGGAAGCTGGATTCTTCAAGGGCAGAAATAACATGGAAATATTTCAGCCTGTGCAGAGTACTGAAACATGTTGGTAACAGCTTTCTTAAGAAATGGATTTTGGTGGTATTTCCCAAGCGCCCAGTGAAAGACAGCAGGGTAATTTCTGTCTGTTTACATCAAAATTCTATTGTTTGTCCCCACCCCCCAAAAGAATTGGGAATAAGGGTGCTGATACTGTACATACTCAAAATCAATTATTAATATTTCTCAATAATTTACAATAAACTGTCCTTGCATGCTTGAAAAATTTGAGAAAAAATAAAAACTTATGGGGGTTCTTAATAATTTGGTAGTTTGGGGATTTTTCCTTTTTATTTAAAAACAGTCCCTAATATTCATCTCTGACAACACAGTAAGATACATATATAAAGTTCATTTCCATGCTTATTACATAAAAATAACTATCAGAAATATCAATCTATCAGTGTCAGCAGATATATATCCAATAATGTCACTGCAGAAGGGAAAATAAAACAAAAAAATCTAATCATAAAGCTTACAGTTCAATTTTTTTTTTTTTGCATGTTTGACCTTTTTTGTTTGGTGGTATAGCTGTGCTCTGGCGCAGGCTGATCCCCAGGTTAATGGCCTCCAAGCAGATTGGAAAGGAAGCCGGAAGACTTCTTGTTTTGCTGTGTTTCTGCCTCCTGGTCTTGTGTGAGTCCCAATTCACTCTCAATTTGATCCAGCTCTGACTGGTCCAGCAACTCAAAGTCATCACCGTCCTCGGTGTCCGTGTCCTCCCCCGTGCTGGCTGCAGCCTGACACAGTGCCTGCTGGGCGGCACCTTCCAGCTGGCCTCTGATGGCAGCGGTCACGGCAGCTGTGATGACGTCCCCGGCCAGGTTGCTCATCAGCTGGAAGGTCTGGTCCTGGTTCAGAGGGAGGGCGAGACCAGCCGCTGACCGCCTCTCTTTGCCTTGTGTGTGACCACCGGCCAGCTGTTCCTTTTTCCTCTTGAGCTCAATGGGCAAACCAAGGCTTAATTCGTCTTCATCATTGGTTCCCGTACCATTTTCCAGAGATGGAAAATCTGACAGATCTCGGGAGAACACCTCCTCACTAGGTCGGTCCAGATCTGTGAAACACAAAAGTCGCTGCTTAAGCACACCACAAAGTTGAAAGCAAAGTTGTCTGCAAGACATCTGATTTTCTTCTGAACCCTCTGGTCAACAGTGGCATTCACCTAGCAGTCTAGGCCAAGATGACTTAATCCATGGAGACTAACAACAGGGAAGTGACTGCCCACGTGCTCCCTCTCGTGTGGGTGACAGGTGGAATCTGCACTGGGACAGACCACTGTGCCTCCCTATTTGAAACACTGTTTAACTTCACTATGAAAAACAAGCCTTTTTAACTCTGAAGACAAGTGCTTTAGTCCCTTTGCATAAGAACTAGGTCTGCGTGGCTGCCAGTGGCCACTTCCTTTGTTCCTTCCATCCTCGCAATAAATAGAGCTGCCAGACATTTCAAAAAAATTTTTTTAATATTCAATTTTTCTGTCTTCTAAATAAGAGAAAATTTGGAATTGATATAGAGCTATTTCTCACACTTTAAAAAACAGCTTTTGTGATATAACCCACATATTATAAGATTCACAGTTTAACAATGTACGATCCAAATATATCCATACACACAATGATGCAGAACCATCTAGATCTAAAACACGCCATCATCACAAAAGAAGCTTGTGCCAACACTCACTGAGCACTCTCCCTGAACCCCTGTCTCAGGAGCCACTAACGGACTCTCCCGAGATGTGCACTTGCCTATGCCAGCTTTTCCTATGAATGGAATCCTACACCACGTGGATTTCCGTGTCTGACATCTTTCCCTGAGCAGTGTCTTCAAGGCTTATCCGGGTTGCAGAAAATATCGGGCCATCATTTATTCTTACAGCTAAGTAATATATTCCCCGATGCAGATATACCACATTTTCTGTATCCAATAGCAGAAAAGGTTTACTATATTTTTGTAAAACGGTAAAAATAAAGAGTGTTCCGGAGTAACGGCATACCCTCCGAAGTATCTGTCTGTGGAGTGCAGCCTTCTGACAGGTTGAAGGTCCCGTTGTCGGTCCAGGACACCTCGGAGACGTCTGTGTCAGACACGGATAACTCTTTGGCAGCAACCGTGAGGCTAATCTGGGTTAATAAAAACACAGTGTAAACTGGAAAATTCTCAGAAAAGCGCCAGGATGTCAGGACAGTGGAAACCAAATGATGATTCCCTTTTGAAACTGTTCCATGAGCTTGCAAAATAGGAGGATTCCATTTGGAAAGTCATTCAGCTGTGGTTCAAATGGCAGTCAAACCACACGCAAACATGCTGAGATTTAAAAAAAAATACCTTAGGACAGAGAGCTGAAAAGTCTAATTCGCTGTCATCTTTGTGACTTTTTTCTTTATCTGCTTCTGTTGAGAAAGAGAAAAAAGAGGCTTTCAATTTCCTGGCCAACGTAGGCACGATGTATTATTTTATTACATATTTCTAATGCTTCGTTTTTTTTCTAATGCCCTTACACAATTAATTTTTCTTTAAGTCTTAACAAGTTTCAGGCTTCACAAAATGTCTCCTTTACGAAGAAAACACCCCATGCAAGTGGTTCTCCCAGTGTGTGTCGCAGTTTTATCGTCCCTGGGGACTTCACAGGACGGCCCATGCAGAGGTTGGATCCTAAATCAGGAACTCCCGAGGAGGCAGGCAGCTTGGCCCTGCACACCTGCCAGGAGGTTCTGATGCAGGCCACAGTTGGGGACTTTATTCGCACATAGGCCCACTGAACAAGTAAACGTGTTCAGTCTCCTGCTCTCTTTTACCTCCCCTTTTCTTTCAGTTCCTTCTATGTGGCTCCCAAACTCATAGCCCTGCCTTTTTTTCTAAAGGTCCAACAAATAATAAAGAGCAGAACACAGAGATGTTAATGTTTGTTTTCTCTCTCCTGACAACCTATATGAAAAATCTAATTTTTGAAGCAAAGGAGGCAAAGCAGATAAATCGCACATGGGCACCAGTTCAAATCCCAGCCACTCCACTTCTGATCCAGCTCCCTGCTCATGCCTGGGAAAGCGGCCAAAGGTGCCTCCAGCTTGGGCATCTGCACCCATGTGGGAGACCTAGATGAAGCTCCTGGCTCCCTTGTGCCCTCCAGGGGTGAACCAGTGCATGGAAGACCTCTCTCTAATGCTTTCACATAAAGAAAAAAAAAATTTTAAAGCCTTTCTAAGTAACTATATTTTTAAGAGAAAAAAACAAAAACCTTCAACTAGCAAAAGGCTAGGTACGTGTTAATTTAGGAGATTAGCCTGTATAACAAATGTTTAGTAAAAGTCCTCTGAATTGCATTGAGGATGATTTCATAATAAACAGACCACTACTAATAAATATAATTAAATATGATAATAGACTCCTAATGCCTCATTTCAGGCATGAAACCTAAAATTAAGACTTTACCTACCAAATCGCTCACGTTTCTTCTGATTAATATATTCTCCAATTCCAAAATCTAACTTTAGCAAAGTTGACTTGATTTTGCTGTATATTTTTTGTCCAATATCATTACACTTAAATAACGGACACAAGAACGCGCACAACACTGAAAAAAAAGAAGAAGAAGTGTAAGTAAAACACCCCCTTCAAAATGCCACGTCTCAGGCCTTCACACACGGCCGTCTCCGCATGGGGTTTCAGAAGTGTAATCAAAGCTGTTCTACTACAACACACTCACCTAGGGCTCAGAGTCGCTTTCAGACCTGCAATTAGCTCAATTCCCTGTTACCCTCAAAATCTGCAGAAAAATCATGTTCACTCAGATAATAGTTCTAGGTAAAAACCTCAACTCTACTTACTAAATGCCGATTTTATCATGGGAAAGATACTATTGATTAGCATATCATCAGTAATATTTGGACAATAATTTTCTCTCTTCTGGTCAGTGTGAACTGCAAGTGAGGTGAATACAATCTGTTTAACGCCCTCTCTTCCCCTTCCCAATACCTTTCCTCCAGGGCCTCCTAAACGAGGTAGACCAGAAGGCTGATGCTACATGTGTTCTATTCCACAGAAGGAACTGGGATCCTGGCTCTTATCTTTTATGTTTTACATTGGAAATACAAAAAGAAATGTAGATTGCTACACTTATATGTTGTTACTTATATGTTGTTGTTAGGAAATGTCAAATAAGAATTAGAAATTCACATATTTTTAGAGGCTAAGGAATTAGATTTTAAAAGCCAGTATTAAAAAACTAACAAAACATGAAGGTTAAAGGAGAGTATTTGCCACAAGGTCCACATCTTCATCTCTTTCAGTAGCAGACAATGTGTACTTTTTAAACAGCACTTGAAAATTATGACTGGCAGACAATAAACTGCATATATTTAACGTGGATAAACTGGTGAGTTTCAACATATGCATTCACCGAAGAAACTTTCTACCAGCCCACAGATTTCCTCGTGTCTTGATTCATCTTTCCCTCCTGTGTCCTGCCTCTCTATGCCACCTCACACCTCATCCCTAGGTACCCACTGATCAGCTCTGTCAACAGAGATTAATTTGACTGCTTTAGAAATATATATAAAGGATTATACAGATTATATTCTTATCTGGCATCTTGCTCTCAGCCTAATTACCTTGAGGAGGCATCAGTAGAGCTGCCTTAACAGATACAGCGATTGCTATGAAGTAAGTACATGAGTAACTTTAAGCCCCAGCTGTAACCCATTATGGGAATACACCACAGTTTGTTTATATGCCTCTCAACAGACATATGGGTTGTCCTCTGATTTTGGCTGCTGCAAATAAACCTGGTACTGGAGAGTAGACCAATAAATTGGTACTGGAGAGTGTGAGCACTTAATTCACCCAATTAGGGTGCTCAGGTTGGATTAGGTCACTAGGCTAGAGTCCCCATAAAACCTTGTGGCTTTATGAGGACAGAGACAGAGACACAGAGAGACACGCACACTCCCTGTCTCTTGCCATGGGAACCCTATGCCACTGTGGGGCTCTACCAGGAGAACACTATTGGTGGGGCCTGACTGATCTTAGAGCTAAACTTTCAAAATTATGACTCAAAATAAACACCTTCTATTTTTAAGTTATCCTCCTTAAGGTACATTTTTAAAGTAACAAAAAGTTTACTAACATTTGAATCTTCCATTTCTCTTGGATCAATACCTAGCTGTGGGATGGCTGGGTCGTATTATTTTTAAGGAATTGCCAACATGAGTGCAAGAATCTTATCTACCCCCCAAAAGTGTGTGAGAATTCCACTTCCTGCATGTCCTTCCTAATACCTGATAGGGTCAACATGTTTGAAGTTCAGCAATTCTGGTAGAGGTGCACTGATAATTTAATTTGCTTTTAATTAATCTTTGGGTCACAGAACATGTACCAAGGTAAAAATGTTGGTGCAATTGCAAATATTTATAGTTTTATTGCTATAAAATAAAATTATTTCTAATCCTACCTTTCACAGCTGTTCTTCACATTTTAAAATATAAATATATCTCTAAAAGAAGAATCACTGTACAGTAGAAGATTAAAGTCATTTTAAGTAAGAATTCATCTGTCTTTAAAACAATGGCCTGGTGACCACTAAATGATATCATAGTCATTTCACAAATGAGCCAAGAGTTCCACTATACTTACACAGTAGGTAGCTGAGTATAACCCCAGGAATGTAACTTCCCAAGATCGTAAAAAATGTGCATATACTGCAGACCAGGAGACAAAACTAGAAATAACAGAAATAGCATAGAACAGTTATGAATAACACCAAGACATTTTAGCACATACATACAATCATGTATCTATAATGTGACCTATCAGATTATGTCGGATGTTTTCCCAACAGGTCGTTTCTACGTAGGGTTAACTATTGACGACTGCCTTCAACTCGCGCTGGTCCACTTCAGTGTTTAGTAATAATCCCTTGGAAGGCATGGAAGCCAATTTCTGAGGCTGAGAATCACAGCTGCCGGGCCCAATGTTACAGAAATGGGAGACTTCTAGAAGAATCTGATATGATGGCTGTTATGTTGCTCAATTGAACCTAAGGCCATGAGCAGCCTCCTTCCTAATTGTACACGAGCTTCAAAGGGACCTCCCTTCTGGGTCTCCTGCAGACCAGCTGCAAAGGACAGAAAACTCCCCTGGTGCACATGGATTCTTTTCCTTCTCTCTGTCAGTTACAAACAAATAAACAAAAAAAAAAAATCTGCTTTTAATAAAGTTTAAAACCAGTCCACTGAAAACCTCCCTAATTCCCTTAGAAATGCCAAGACAAAATTTTTCCTTATAAAGCATTCATCTGACTCCTACCCTGTGGTCTTACATTGTTTTTTCTTTTAAATTTTGGCTTTACATGATTGTATTGTTTTAACCTGAGAAAGGAGCAAATAAAATCCTTTAAAAGACACATGAAGAAGGAATATACACCACTGATTAACAACTGATTGAGAGCGAACAAGTTTAAATGAATTTCAGGCTGATATTTTGCTCTTTGGCGCAGGGTTAATGAATCAGCTAGTCCAAAGGAGACCATGGACTTGTGAAACAAAAATCAGAGCACTTTGTGTAATCATAAGAGCTCTTAGAAGAAACTGGAGTCCAGAAAGGAAATTGAAAAGCAAAGGCCCTAAAAGTGAAAGCAACAAAAGAGCCAATAAAAACATCACTGCTTTGGGGCCAGTGCTGTGCATAGTGAATCAAGCTGACTCCTGCAATGCAGGCATTCCATGCGGGTGCTGGCTCATGTCCTGGCTTCCTGGCTGCTCTACTTTCAATCCAACTCCTTGCTATTCGCCTGGGAAAAGCAGCAGCAGATGGCCCAAGTCCTCGGGCCCCTGTTACCCATGAGGGAGACCTGGAAGAAGCTTGTGGCTCATGGCTTTGGCCTGGCCCAACCCTGTCTATTGTGACCATTTGAGGAGCAAGCCAGCAAATGGAAAAGCTTTCTCTTTTTCTCTCTCTCAGTCTCTCTGTAACTCTGACTTTCAAATAATTTTTTTTAATCACTACATGCAGAATTCAGCTATTCACATGGATTTCCTATCTCCTTGCTGTCTGAACATGATATTTGAATTATGTCTTTATGCACATATTTAGATCCCCAGATCACAGGTTGACTTCAGGAGGTGGAGCTTAATCCAATTTCAGCGTCTATGAGGAGGGCCTGGTAGGCGGTCCCAGGCGGGGTGGGGCAAGCCCTAAGAAGGCAGATCTCAGGAGAATGCTGCCAGTCTTCTCTGCTTCTGCACCAGTGCATCACGGTTCCTCCAGATGCACAATGCCACTGCCATGCTCAGGCCCTACCAGCTGGCCACACCCATGGGTCACTCGTTGGTGAGACAGTCTCAGGCTGAAAACCCACAGAACTGAGAGTCAGAATAAACCTCTTTCCTTCCTAAGTGTCCTGTGCCAGGCATTCCATTACAGGGATGAAAAGCTAACCAACACAGCCCTCAGTTGGTAATATCATTATGTTAAGCTAATTGACAGGACACGTTAATGTCATCCAATACAGAAATCTCAAGCTTTGAACCCTCCAAAAAATATCTTTAATTATTTCAGTACAACAGGTATCAAAATAACATCATGTCCCCACATGGATATCTACTCTAAAAATTTCCTCCAGTGATTAAAAAATCCATCCAACATTGACACTAACATGCTAAAATCCCATCAAGCAGATTTCTGTTTAATACGATTTATATGACTGCCCATAAGTGGTACAATGAGAGGGATCTTAAATGTTGCCCTCCTTAGCTTTTTGTTTCACTGTAGCTGCATGTTTAAGGAACTTGAAGGCAAGATGGAACTGACCAGGCCTGTTGATGGTTCTGCACCCACCCAGGCTGGCAAGCTGCTGGCCACAGTGTCAACAGATGCACTCCTTCTCATCCTTTCCAACCACTTAAGGCTACCCACCTTACAGAGTTTCATCTTAATTAGAAAATTACCCATTCCATTTAAATAATCATGGTGAATGTTTTTGCCCAAAGTTTTCTTTTTTAAATAAAATCTCTTTATTTCTGGATTAAAATCAAGATTCAGTTATCCCTAAAAGCACAGTCGGTGGACTCTATGTTTTTTCATCACTGATTCCAGAACCAGACCAAATGCCTTAGATGAAATTCTTAACATCATTTTTGTTTGATAACACCAATCACTACTCATTCTAGTGAAAGAGTTAGATAAACACAAATGTAACATAAAGCCAATTCAATTTCAAAATGTGAAAGTGAGTCTTTTTTCTTTTTTTTTCTGGCGCTGACAGACGTTTTTTGAACCTTGCTGGCAGCTTTTATTACCAATATTTCTAGTACATTATCCTCAGAATTCGAGAACTCTTCCAAGCTGATGAAAGCATTCTTTCATTTCCAAGGACAAAAATACTGGAAAACTTACCTTGCCAGGACTTTGTTGTTTAAAAAGAGACATTTCCTGAAGAAATATGCTGAAATTCATCCATGATTCTGCAATACAGTGGCTGAGCCTGGGTCTTTCATCTGGTTTAGAATTAACAACCTCCCAGCTAAAACGAGGGGGAAAAAAAGGGGGAAAAAAAACAGTAACAGCGTTAGGTGGTTCATCTGTGGCTTCAGCAACTCTTTGTTGAGCATGCACAGTTGCTCTCAGGACAAGCCTGTGGCTGCAGAGGTGAACCAGCCACGCACACACTGTCTCAGGAAGCTGCAGTGCCAAGAGAAACGACTAGATGCATGACGAATAATGCAATTCTAAAGGAAATCCCCAGGGAGCAGCACAGTGGAAGCATCAGGGAACCTCTTCTTGAAGAAGTCATTTCTTTTTTCTATTTTTTTTTTCCTTAAATCTCAGGTCTGGAATGAAAGAGCAGTTTGGCATGAGGGTTTCAGATAGAACAAAGTTAACAAATGCAGAGATTGCAGCGGGAAGTGGCCAAAAGCATGGTCCTGCTGAAGCCTCAAGGGCAGCGAGGTGGGGCAGCACAAACCTGAAGGCAGACCTGCTAATACAGGGCTGGCAGCACCTGTTACAAACTTGTTCAGCCTTGAGAAGGAGGAAGCTACAGTGCTTTTTAAAAAACAATAACACCGAGTCTCATCATAAACAGCAACCATGTGTTTCTCATTCAAAGAATGATTGGTCAATTCTACAAAAAAAATGGTTGAACTCAACCAGTTCTCACAAGAAAAACTATTTCCTAGAGATCTTTCTCTGTGTATCTCCTCTCTGAAAATCTGCCTTTCCAGTAAAAAAAAAAAAAAAAAGCAAATCTTAAAAAAAAAAAAAAAAGAAAGAAATGGACTGTCAGGTGTCTAGCTCATCCCTCAGTTTACTTCTGAAATATCAAGTTCCTGCTGGCTAAAGCCACAGAAAATTACTTTTTAAAGGAATGGAGCTTTCCATAGATGCTGGAATTTGTTCTAATGCTACCTTTAGGATTCATGTCTCAGAGGTGAAATATATTTCTAACACATTCTTTTTACTACTTTGGTAAATACCCTAAAATTGGAAAGGAGGCTATCAAAATTACCAATATAGAAATAGTATTAGCATGTGCTGGAAAAAAAGAAGCAAAAGAATACTAAAATGAATAGTTCATTCTTTGAAGGATTTAATTTTTATTCTAAAAGCAGAGTGACAGAGAATGGAAGAGACAGAAAGAGAAAGAGGATTCCTGCTTGCTGGTTCACTTGCCAGACGCTCACAACCATCAGATCCGGGCCTGGTGGAACCTGGGCGTAGGCGCTCCCTCCTGGACTCTCCCATTAGTGGGAGGGACCCGGTTACCGGAGCGCCTTGTGCTTTCCCATGCGCATTAGCAGAGAGCTGGATTAGAAATGGAGCTGCTGGAATCCAAGCCAGGGCTCTATGTGATGACCACACTGCACAGCCTAACCCGCCACACCACAACGCCAGCACCTATCTCTGACAGTCACGAGGAAGCACCGTGACCGGAGCAAACTTTTTTTCCCTTTGAAGAAAATCCATGTGATGTTGTTCTAGAACACCACATCCCATCACTGCCTACACTTGTTGCACATGATAATTCTATTTGAATTGTTACAAACAGAAATGGGAAATGTATCATGTTTGAAAACTTGAAAATACTATCCAACAAATGAGTTCTGGGATGTGTAATAAGTGCATGACGTAAAAATAAATGTTGAGAGACCGGCACTGTGGCACAGCAGGCTAAGCCACCACCTGTGACACAAGCATCCCACACGCGCAGCAGTGAGTCCTGGCTGCTCTGCTTCTAATCCAGCCACGACTTCATCTAACTTGGAAAGGAACAGAAGATGGTTCAAGAACGGGGGTTCCTGCCAATCCTACAGGAAACATGGAGGGGGCTCTAGGCTCCGGGCTTCAGCCTGGCCTCCCCTGGCTGTTACAGTCATCAGCGGTGAGAACTATCAGACAGAAGATGCCTACCTGTGTGTATGCCTGTACGTCTTTTTCTGCAGCTCTGCTTTTAAAATAAATACATAAATAAATCTCTCAAAAGTTCAGCTTGTGTTGAAGAAAACTGAATGGGAACATATCTGACCGCCATGGTGAGGAAGACACGTCACTCCACGCTTCTTTCAGTGAGATATGAACCTGAAACTCTTGAGGAGTTTGAAATTGTGCAGGGATAACTTAGGAGGTCATAGCACACATTTGTTTTCTCTTTTTTTATGATTTATTTATTTTTATTGCAAAGTCAGATATACAGAGAAGAGGAGAGACAGAGGAAGATCTTCTGTCCATTGAGTCACTCCCCAAGTGAGTGCAATGGCTGGAGCTGAGCCAGTCCAAAGCCAGGAGCCAGGAACTTTCCTCTAGGTCTCCCACATGTGTGCAGGGTTCCAAGGCTTTGGGCCGTCCTCCACTGCTTTCCCAGGTCACAAGCAGGGAGCTGGATGGGAAGTGGAGCTGTTGAGATTAGAGCCAGCGCCCATATGGGATCCTGGTGCATTCAAGGCAAGGACTTTTGCCACTAGGCCACCACGCCGGGCACCACACATTTCAATGGCCCTCCACTGACTCTACCTTTGGAAACACCAAATTTCAATTTATGCCACACAAACCTGAATAATTTGAAACAATGTGAGACATTGGATGCCAATTTTTCAGACTGCCTTATTTTGTACACGTAACTAAGTTTCCTCAGCTGGTTTGGAACAGAGCCAAAACCTAAGGCCCAGACTCCTAATCTCAAACCATTGTGTTTTCCTTAAACCATGGGCTCTCCTCCAAGGTTAAAGGAATGCAATGACATCCTTCCAAGACGCCGTACTGTACGTTAGATCATGGAGGAGCAGGTCACATCCCTCCCTGCTCTGCTTCCTAGACCCAAGAGGGATAAGGTGAAACTAGCCAATACGGACGCAGCACCAAGTGGGATGAGCTCTCTCGCAAGGACAACGGAACACCTCATGTGAGGCCAAATATCACGTAGAAAATGAGTTTCATGCTTGGAGGTTGGCCAATGTGGAAGCTGCATTGTGTATGCAGACATGGAGTTCCTCCATAGGAGATTCGAGGTTTTCCTAGACAGACCAGTTTGGAAAACACATACCCAAGGAAAGAATCTCTCGTGCATTCCACACGAGGCTTGGGAATCAGATATTCCCCATGATGTCTGGCTGTCTTCCCACCACTCTTGGCACTCACCAATGTGCAATGTAAGCCCCAACTAAGGGGAAATGAAATATACCTAAGGTTTCCAAACACTTGGCGTTCTTACCAAGTTCTTAACCAAAGACTACAAGTCTTCTATGATTGAGTTTATCTAAGGAAGAAATGAACTAACCACAGCTTTATTAACTCCCTATTTCAGACAGAAGCAGCACACATTTAAAGAGAAATAAGTTTTTTTGGCTGGTTCTTCATCTGCCCTGCTCCTTGCTCTCTCTCTCTCCTTCCAACCTCCTCCCAGAACGTTCTTGCCTTCACTGGAAGCAGAACTTGGAGCACTCTCCAGCCACAGGAAAAGAGGTGTCCTTTTCCCTGGTGACCATCTCCAAACTGTTCCTATTTTCAGCAGGATTAAGAGTCGCTGTAGAGGAATCACTACAACTCCCAGTCTCAACGTGCCCATGTCCCCCTTCAGATGGACTCTACCCATCTACAGCTGTAAATGCTTTCCTAAAAACGACCTAAACAGAGGCCACAGCGATGCCACTGGGTCATGTTTTCCAAAGGAACGGCTAGGCAGGTGTTGACAAGGGACATTCTGTGACTGAGATAAGCTGCCGTTGACCAAAGAACCCTCAGCCAGGGCAAGGTCCTTTCCGTGATTTACGTTCCTGAGAAACGGAACAAACATGATTCAGAGCGCTACTCAAACAGCCTCCTATCACCCCAGAAAGCAGCTCTGGCTCGCTGGTAGACTGGGCAGCCGATGCCCCTTCCTCCTACCCCCATCTCCGTTTTAGAATACAGGTAGTGGGTCTGCCCCTAAATGCTGTGCATTCAGTTCCTAACACTGGGTGTGTGTAACACCCTGGACACTGTTCACACACTAGCTCTCCAGAGCTCAGCACTGGCGGAATAGGCCTGGGCAGCTAACAATGAGCATGTTGTCACAGACATTCCAGGTGTTTCTGAGGCCAGTGTTTCTCACCTGGGGAACACCCATAAGGAAACAGCGAAGAATTCCTCTCACACATAAACAAGAAGGCAATCTCTGCTTGTGGGGGCATGGTGTGGTACAGACCTAATTTATTCTCCTACCTGAAACCATACACAGAAAGAAAAGAGATGCAGGAACTACGATCTGCATGACCCTGAACATTAGGGAAGGACGAACAGGGACTCCTGGTAGGAACAGGAAATCAGTGAGGGAGCCCCGGGATGACCCAGAACAGTGCCCTGTACGTTTCCAGGTTGCAGGGCAAGGAAGAGCCGCCAAGATGGAACCTGGCAACCGGCTGGGTTGAGGAGACACAAAAGGCCCCAAGACAGAGTATTACAGGAGACAGATATATAATATATACACACACAGTAATGTGTTTAATTATATATAACATAATTATGTATATGCAGGTCACATTACATAATATGTAATGTGTAATATATGCAATATAACATTATATATATGACCATATATATTTGTTGTTATATAATACACAGAGAGGTCACATCAGGAATTCAGAGGCCAGACAAGAGCCATCAGAAAGGACCAGAAGGAACAATGTCTTGTGACAGGAATAGCATCTGATCCCTCAAGCCAGACGAAACCTCCAGATTCCTGGACCCTGGCAAATGACTCAAGAGTGTTAGCTCAGCAGTGGAGAAAAGCCTCAAACTCAGCCGAGAGCTGCCTGCCATTCTTAAACGGAGACCCCCGAGCGATCGGCACCACCCCAAGCCCCTCACTGGCATATCCAGGAACGTGAAGCAGCAGCATTTGCTGTGAGTCAGCTCTCTCACACAAACTGGGATCTGTATGGTTCTTCCTTTCTCAACTATTGTGTTCCTTTAAAAAAAAAAAACTTTCTTCAGCCAACCCAACATTTGAATGTTTTACTGCAGATGTGTGTGTATTCAGTGCACTGTGGT